AAAAAAAAAAAAAAAAGACGGAAACAAAAAGAAACAAAAACAGATCCAGAAGTTTACCAGTGTTTATATATTCTAGACGTTCCCTAAGCCATGGTCGGTCGGTAGTTTCGTGCAGATCCTTCTACGGGTTCTACAGGAGTGTACTGACTACGAACTGAAGACACAGATCCTTGCTGTAAGTACAACAKTACATGCACACTAGTTTCTTGCTGTTGTAAAGATTGCGCCTTTTTCGGATATTTTGATTGGATGAACGATAATCTCGATAATCTTTGATTGGTTAATGAACGTCGTGAGCCCGTACCGTGACCGTGGTCATACCCAGGAAGTGATTTAGTATTTGTTGAAAATCCACGAAACCCTTTAATCGACGATTCTATACGCGCTCTGCGTGAGTGCTGTAGATACGCTGTTAGTACCATGGGAGCGGCAATATAGGAAGATGGGGAATCAGCACAAGATTATTTTGATCTCTTAGACCGAATGCGAACGTCGAACTTCAAATGAGCCGAACCTAATGACATAAAAGAAGACTGCCTTGTTATCCATTGTTTTCAATGCGTACTGCTCATGTGAAGTTTGACGTTTGACCTGAGCCTTGTATGTGTATCAAAAACCCATGCGCATTATCTGCTAAGCATAAAAATCTAGCTTTCCATGGAGACATACCGATGTCTTATATACTCATTTATATGTTTGGATCTCTCATTAGGCTATTTTGCTTCTAAATCGCCAAGAACCCTTCGAGAAAGACTGTTCAGAGTTGGTTAGTCGATCACTGATTGCTGAGCTCAATGTGCCATTTCCTCCAACTGCGCACGGCTCGTCTGTTGCCAAGCAGTTCATACGTGTTGATCTGCAGCTGCTACAGGATATGAGGATATTCAATAAGTCGTTTATGGTGGAGTTGATGGCACAGTATATCGATGGTGATGAGGAAATAAGGTGAGACCATCATGATCTCTCTCTCTTTTCTTCTTCTCTTCAATACCGTCTTTTTTTTTTCCCCTCCTTTTCTCGCCTCTCTTTTGTCCATTCGCCTCTCCCCTGCCTCATTTCTTTTCCTTTGCTTTGCTTTGCTATCCTTTGCCTTTCTTTCTTTCTTTTCCTTTACTCTACTCTCCCCTGCTTCCTTTCCCTTGTTTTCTTTTTTGCTCATTTTTTCCTTTGTCTTATAGGAAATTCGTCCAAGATCTCTTTGTTTCTATCGGTATTCGTGACCCTGGAGGCTACTTCCCTAAAGAACTGGACAGCTTTGAGACAGAGGTGGGTAGACGATAATGTCTATAGAGTATTTGACTTCTCCATCAATGTAACACATTGATCTTAACAAAACCGGTCAAGCGGAGGTTAGAACGGCACTATTGAATTATATTTATCGTATGAGTACGAACCCAGATAGCGCTTCATCTGCAAATGGTAAGACCTTCACGTGGCTCGGACGACCACGCTAATGGTGATCCCATCCCTAATCAACTAGTGCGTTGAAGGAGGACCACAAGTTTATCAGTTCAATTACTGTCAAGTGTTATCCTCTATAAACAAAGTTATTAACTCGGGCTTTCAAAGAAATGCCCGAGGTATAAATTGGGCTTTATTTGCGTTGTGTCACAAATCGCAGTTGCGTTCAAAGCGCATGCGCAAGTTCTACGCGCGTGCGTAGTATGCGCCACATAAGCACATGGTCGAGCAATGGCGGAATTTTGTAAGGTTTCGTCAGAAGGATGACAGTGTTCACGAAGAATTCTTTCGTTTTTCTGCTATGAAGCCCGAGTTCACGCAGATATGCGTCTAGTTAACTAATATTCCTGATAAAAACCGGAAATAAACTTTTAAATCTTTAACTGCATATTCTTCGTTTGCACGTTACGTCATCGCGGCCATCTCAGCACCATTAAGGCATGGCTCTTTTGAGGAAGTGATGGAAAATCAGTTATTTATTCGTATCTTTGACAGTTTACTATGAATCTTCCCCAAATTTGGCTCGTAGTAGTAATTCATCAAGGCAAGCAATTACCGCATATCTGTTGCCATGGAAACCAGGTCACGTGACCACAAGGCCGCCATCTTGGATTTTTTTTAAAAATCGTTTGTAATCGTACTGAAACTACTTCAAAAGTCCTGAAAATCCATATTCCTTTTGATATTTGCAATACCTATATGGATCTAATTGGATATCTTGGAAATTATATTAAGTTTAATTCTTAGAATATTTTTAATTTTTTGGAAAAAATAGAAAATATTCTAAAAAGTAAACTTAAATAATTTCCAAGATATCCAATTAGATCCATATAGGCATTGTAAATATGAATAGTAATCTGCATTTTCATGACTTTTAAAGATGTTTCGGTACGTTTACAAACGGCTTGCTTAAAAATCCAAGATGGCGGCCTTGTGGTCACGTGACTTAGTTTCCATGGTAACCAAGGCTCTAAGGTTCCTTCTTTTCACAAAAGACATTAACTTGCCAAGTTTGGGGAAGATTCGTAGAAAACTGGCTATGATATAGCTAATCAGTTTTTCATCTGAGAGCCATGCTCTAACGATGCTGAGATGTTGGTGTCATTTAACAAAAGATTTCTCATTAGCGTCCATTGTTAACGGTACCACAATGGCCGCCATGTTTTTGTCTTTTAACTCTCTTGGGAATGCTTGCAACCCATCAATAGTGTAAGGTTCAACTTTGCACATGATTGACCGCCCCTTTCTTGGTGTTTCAGGGGTTCGTGGACCAGAGACGCAAGGCTCGTATTCGTGAGGTGTGTATCACTTGGCTGGACAAGTGGTTGACTCAGTTCAAGCAGCACATCAGGTCACTGGCGGGCAAGATAGGACGAGCACAGGCTGGGAATGTCGTCAAGTATGTAGCAATACTCTACTAGAAATAGTATGATACTAGATATGCCACAGGGAGCCCAATTTCGATAAAAGTCAAAGAGGAAAATAGCATCAAGGAAATGAACGATTCTATCACAAATGTAAATTTTCTCGCTTTTTGATTTGTCGAAAGCTGTGGTAAATAAGAGGACATACCAACAAATTACGTCAATAAATTCCGAATCTCTCGCGCAAGGARCCAACGCGCGCTTGAAACTGTTTTTCTTTCAATTTTTTGTTTTTGTTTTTTCTTTTTTTTTTTTGTTTTTGTTTTTTTGTTTTTTTGTTGGTTTTTTTTTTGTACTAAAATATGTTTTTACTGATTTTCGTAGTTGAAGCCAAGATAGTGTGCTAAAAAATACGAGTGAATAAAAAAAAGAACTAGGCACACTAAAAAAATGGTAACATTTTTCGTGCGCTTTTTGTTGATGATAGATCTTTTTACCTTTGGCCCGGCGTAATGGTTTTCCACTTCAGACCACGTGTCATTCCCAAACTTTACCATTCCTTGCGGTTGCACATGAAAAGACACATAAAAAGGACTATGAACGGGGCTCCCTGTGGGCAGACACGACTAGAATGGTTCTCTACTTCCTTTGAACTACGGCACATAAGATAGCTAAATTTTTGCTTTATATTGTGATAACAGGGGTACAAAGGAGCCCAAGACACCTTCGTCTATCAAAGGTATTCTGAAGAAGGATGATAAACCTGAAGCCAGCAGATCCCAAGGTAAGTCACGTGGCACTATGACATACGCCAGTCAAGATATCCAATGACATCAYACCACGTAAAAACAATTCATTTGTTATAGATTCGGCAGGTGTGGAATTCGACGTTTAATCTGAGCCTTAAGCTGATGTTACACAGGATGATTCACCACGACGATTTTTYGCGATGCGTCGTTGCGCAAAAAAATGATGTGTGTAACATGCCACGTACGACGATTTTTGGATTCGAATGTTGTGCGAAAAGCTGATTCGTTTAACATGTTTTCAAAATTGGACGAGTCGTATCGCAAAAAATCGTCGTTTGAATCGTCCCGTGTAACATCAGCTTAATACCATTCTTCTCTACGGTTTTTTTTACAGTCAAATTTGACATCGAGTCGTTGGGCAGCATGGCAGCGGACAGCGCTACTCCTGTAGAAGCGGTGAATTATTTCTGTGAAATACGAWTGGAGGAGGAACTAGAGAGAGCTAGACTGCGCTCACGAGCTAAAACCCCCCCACCACAAGCGAAAGACAACTCGCGCAACACAGTACTTGTTCTACCAAAAATACACAGGTAACGAGAAACAGTTGGAATATATTGGGTTTGTGTCCCTTTTTTACGCAACCAAGTCGGCAAGCCATGTTAAGTTTTTTGGCTTCTATCGATCAAAATTTAATCAATTAACCATTTTTTATACATGGGTTTACTGATCATACACAAAGCATTCACTCGAGGCTTCAAGGTAGTTTCAAGGTATTGGTCAAATTTGATCCTTACATCCTCGGTTGAATGGTGGTGAATGTAGCGGGGTGGGAGCGGGGTTTGGGATGAGGGGAGATGGCGCTCGTAATTCTTTTGGTAAGGGGCGTATGGGTGGGGTTCAGAGAGGTTTATGAGAAAAACATGAGGATGTGTCAAAACAATATAACCAATCTCTGGGTGGCGTAAGCAGAGCTGTTCTTCTCTATTTCTGTCTGCGTTTTAGTATCATTTGTTTTGAAGATCTAAGTTCCTTACTCTGTTTGATTGACAGTAAGCGAAGTCTGGCTCGACTTGGTGAGACACACTGTAGTCACTGTCATCCTGAACGAGAGACGTCCCTGTCTTTAGGTAACGTACAGTAATCAATCGTGATGATAAAGCCTTTTAAAACCATACTGGTGCTTTGGTAATCTAGGATGATAGGCCGTACGGCCCTYAATAGTTCTGTGATAGTAATAAAGGTGATGGTGGTGACGACGACGATGGTGATGATATGGTGGTAATGCATGATGGTGATATAATGATGATGCACGATGATGGTGATAYGATGTTGATAATGATGGTGATACGATGATGGCGATACATGATGTTGATTATGATGGTGATATGATGATGATGGCGATATAACGAAGATGCAGGATAATGGTTATAATATGATTGTGATGCAAGATGATGATGATGATGGTGATATGATGATAATGCATGATGATGGTGATATGATGTTGATGCATGATAATGGTATATTATGATTGTGATGCAAGATGATGATGGTGATATGATGATAATGCATGATGATGGTGATATGATGTTGATGCATGATAATGGTTATATTATGATTGTGATGCAAGATGATGATGATGGTGATATAATGATAATGTATGATGATGGTGATATGTTGATGATGATACGATGATGGCGATACATGATGTTGATKATGATGGTGATATGATGATGATGGTGATAATGATTGTGATGCAAGATATTGATGACGATGATGATGATGATAGTGATACATGATGATGACGGTGATATAATGGTGGTCGGATGTTGGCAATGATAGTGACTTCCATCATCTCAATACTGACAAACCAATTTTCTCCCTTGTAGCATTTCCACTTCCCTCGATCTACAAGCACAAGAAGGAGATTCCTCTAACAAACGTAGCCCTTCACCTTAACACACAGACCATCAACCCGTTCCCAGACGAGGCGGATACTTACCTGTACGAACCGACTAAGCATGCCAAACTACTCACCTTGAGATCTTCACAGAAATACTTTATTCCTTCTCAGTCTGTTGTAACAATCTACGACGATAATTTTAGCTAACTTGTATAGTAATTTAGAAATAGAATTCCCAGTAGGGAATGATTGGGATCCYTGTGTTGACGCCCGTAACACAGGAAGCCCAAACAATAAAAATGTAAGCATGCGATTATCAGCAATGACAACAGATATGGATTTTTTACAAAGGATAAATAATGCGCAAAAACAAATGCGCTTCAATTATAAGAATTATTTGTAAGCAAAGCAAAGTTATTTTGATGAAGTTTTATGAATACAAATRAAGTTTTAACTTACTTGATAAACTGATTTGTCTAGTTTACCTGCAGAAACTTTTCTTAAAAAAACAAGTGAAAAAGCGAGGCCAGTATTTTTTCAGTTATAACTTATGCGCATAATCCGAAATATGCTGCAAAATAGCGGGCGTGGAAAAGCATTTTTAAGTCGTCAAACAGAATATGGTTTTCAGACCCTCCCAGCAAACTCTCTTGGCAACAACCTACCCAGAGCCCGCGTACTTCTTGATCAGCAGCGAGAAGCAATATCATTCATATTTCACGCGCTTTTTTCTATAGCGTGTGCTACACATAGTGCAGTTTTCGTATGACTGTGAAAAGCTCAGTGCCGTAAGCGTGACGTGCCGTGACCATGGTTTCTAGAACTTTAATTGGCTGATTTTTTTTCACGCGCAATATGATTGGTCTAAAAGKGTCGTGATCTTGGTGTGACTGTGTCCGCGCCGTGTTTATGCCGTGTTTCGGGTATTTGATTGGATGGAGAGTAAATTCTCGTGCAATGTGATTGGTCTGGCGTATCCCATGCTGTGTCACGACCGTGTTCGTGCCGTGAACTTTTCACAGTCATACGAAAACTGCACTACTGTGTCCTGAAAATGACCACGCCAGCTGAAAGTAACAGTACCAAACATGGAGTATCTACCTATAGGAACGGCGCTCAATCACAAGCCAAAAAAAGCCGCACTCGACTCTGATAACGAGATTATACAACCTTCCCTCTCCTCCCTAGAGTATTATTTTTGAATCAAGCAAAAAGAGCCCCCCCCCCCCTTCAAACCTAGAAATTTTTAACTAACCACTTTGATAAACTAAACACGCAATATCTTTACTAAAAGTGTCTGACACCAAAAATCATGATTTAACACACCTTATTTTTTTCTCTTTTTCATATTTTTTCCTTCTTTTTTTTWAAGTTGTAAATATTTACCGTTAGCGGAGTGTTTTCTAGGTTCATATTATCTAATCTAAACATTCATTCCGGAACTCAAAAGTGAACTTCTTCAATAATTCATCTCTAAGGTCATAAATTCGCGATAATTTCTCACATATATATATTATTGCCTCGTAAAAAGTAGATTCCAAAACCTCATTTACCCAATTCGATCGCCCGCTGGGTCCGAAGATATATATATATATTATTATCGACAAGCACAAAAGACACCCCCGTAGAATAGAATTAAGATTGGTTTACCAGATACCTCTAAATTCTACTCTTTTGAGGATAAGTAAAGCTTTTATTCATGTTGGTATAAATRATTTCCTAAAATATTGATATTATTGTTATTATTCTTTGTGAAGACTATTTCTGGTCAAAAGTCTGGTCCATCTCTAAAATCAACCTCTTTGGAAATATTCTAGTACTAAGCTTTATTTAAAAAATCCCCCTTTGTCTTTTAGATATCTATTGTTTTTTTACAGTAATGRTAAAAAGGTAAATTATACACCGTGAAAAGATGAAAAAACTTATTGACGTTTCAAACGCTAGTCCTTCGTCGGAGTAAAAGAGAAAGAGGTGGTAGAAAGGAGTGTTTATATGATTTGTCTTATTCTGTCATATAAACACTCCTTTCTACCACCTCTTTCTCTTTTACTCCGACGAAGGACTAGCGTCCGAAACGTCAGTGAGTTTTTTCATCTATTCACGGTGTATAATTTACCTTTTTATCTTTACTGTTTCATTAGAAACACCGACGCAGCTCACACTAGTTTTTAGCTAGTTATCTCTTATTGTTTTTTTTTTTTTTATATATATATACCTAAGTTAGAAAAAAATCAAATTGAATATAAACAACGTATTTCTTTTCTGGGAATAAATGTTTTTCGAGTGTTTTAAGTCGTAAAAATTTTGTAACTTTGAAAATAAAACAAAATTGAATTACATTCATCCTTTAAAGTAATGATTTTATGTAATTAAATTATATATTTAGATGTGTCTAGGAATTCTTTAGACAAAGAGGTTAAAAAGGAAGGGAATTATTTGCCTTTTTGTGCTATTTTATGCTGAAAAAATGCTCCGGAATTTTGTAGAACCCAATGTCGTAAAATCTTTTTTTTTTTCCGAATATTTTTACGACTTTCTCAAGGTCCTCAAGCATGCAATTACGAATAAACGCTAGTTGTGAATTACTGAACAAGTTAATAACACTCAATGTAAGTCATTTGAAGGTCTTCAAAGCTTTTTGATGAAACCATTGGCACTTCAACACAAATGCACAGCAGTTTAATGGATTTAAACTTAAGCAGAAACCCATAAATAACTCATTCAATCTTTACTCATTCGCTGATAAGTGTAGTTTCTCTGAACACAAATCTGCAAACTTCAATGCAAACGAACACCTGTTCCCACGAAAATAAAAGATTTACTAATTTCTATTTATCGTAGACTTTTTAATTCATTTATATAATTCTCTTAAAATTAGGACTTAATGAGAGAAAAAAAAAACGTTCAGCTATTTTCTCGTGAAGGGTTTGTTAAGTAGGTCGAGCTTACCTAGTAGTTCATTCAACATCTTCAACAGCTCTGATTCGAGTCTTATCGCTTGGTTTAGAAAGATCATCTCGACTTCTCAATCAGTCTTGAAATCAGCTTTGTGGGTTTGTGACGAAATGAGCGCTAATCTTTCAGCTGAGTTTAAAAATGACGAGCCACGGCTCACAAACGCGGAAGAAAATCCCCAGCACAGATTCCCTCGAATTGCGAAGATGAGTATAGAGCTTCGGTTACTCCTCAAACGAAAAATATTTACGGCGTATAATTTAATAAATAGTGAAGACAACAGCGAAGAAAATGAAGAAGTGCTCGCGTTTGGGGAAGCAGAGGAAGATTATACGAAGACTTCCTACCTGCACACATTTTGGAATATTTTCAATGCAAATCAAGGAGTTGCCATCCTTGCTATGCCGTATGTTATCAAAAATGGAGGCTACGCTGCGATATTCAGCATCATAGCTGTGGCCGTTATTTCAAATTTCACGAACAAGAGACTAGTGGATTGTCTTTACGAGTACACAGAACAAGGAGAAAAGTTTCGAGTTCGAAGCAGTTACGTTGAGATTGGAGAGGCTTTTGCTCCTAAGTATGGTCATCATTTGGTCAACGCTGCTCAGATGTTTGAACAAGTGTCTTACTGTACATTGTTGTTGATTCTGTGTGGTTCAATCTTGGAGTCCACATTCCCGTTCACGAGCCTTTCTCAAAGCGATTGGACGGCAATAGCAGCTATTGCCTTGCTTCCTAATGTCCTTCTAAAATCGCTAGCCGATGTATCTTGGGTGAGCTTTATTACTGTAATTATTGGGGAAGTTATCTATCTGATTGTATTCTTCTACGGGTTTTGGCATCATCAACGATGGGACGTTGCGTCGATGCCGCCATTCGCGCTCAAGAAGTTGGGCGCCGCTGTGGGGATTGTCGTCGTAAGCTACTCCTCTCAACCCTACATGCCTGCCATAGAGGGAAGTATGCAACATCCAAGTAGGTTTAACAGTGTGATGGACGTGACGTATATCGCTGTAACCTTCGTCAAAGTCTTCTTCGGTTTCACTGGGTACCTGACATTCACACATGACACAGATCAAGTCATTACTAACAACCTTCCCGAAGGAGTTCTTCATATCACTGTTAACTTACTTGTCCTGTTCCTAGCAGTGACGTCCTACACTATTCCCGTCTACACGGTGTTTGATATTCTTGAAAATATTTCCTTCCCTTGTGGACAAATGGACAACCCGAGCGATGCCAAAGGCAAGGACAAACTGTCTTACATCCAAGCCCTCGTAGCAAGACTTTGTGTCATTTCTTTCACACTTCTCGTAGGAGTTTTAATCCCCCATTTCGGATTGTACATGGCGTTAGTAGGTAGTTTTACAGGGATGTGCTTGGCGTTCATTTTCCCGGCTTTATTTCACATGAAGATCTGTTATTCACGTATGGAATGGTATGACTTTTTTATTGATTCGTTTGTCGCGATATTCGGTGTCGTTGGAGCCATCATTGGCTGTCACTTCTCAGTGTTAGCACTTATTTCAGTTTACCAAAAACACGACTTGTAGGGCAAAATCAGAATCGAAAATTATAAGAAAGCTGATACAGGGGAAAATGTGGGGAAATACACGATATGCTGTATTTAATTTAGCTATTCACAAGATATTATGAGTGCCTATGAATTAAATATCGAGGAAATGCCAGAAATGTGGGAAAATAATGTAATGACACAAAACCCGAAATATCTGATGGTTTGCCGGCGGATTTCYTATGCGAAATTCCCCAAAATTTTTGTCCAATAAACAATAAAACCAAAAAAATCAAAATCTTGAAAAGGGTMAAAAAAGGAATAGAAATTCAACTAAGATCTAGAAATGCTAAACTTTGAGAGAGATATGAAAAATGTATTTTTTCACACGCAACTCTTCCATGTGAATGAGTGATAACTTGGCGGGCGAGAGATAGATCTATCATCAACAGTAGCGGCTTATGTCCACAATAAAACCAAACTTGGAACAAAGGTTGTTCCATCAAAATATTATTTTCCTCCAATATCCATAAAGAAGTCCTAATTCATGGTTCCCCTTCAGACAACAGCGAACCAATCACCGTTACAGCAGTTATCTCAGTGGAATTAAGATCTTCTCCCACAAACAACTACACAGTATCTATTTTAAAGAGTACTACGAGGATTCGAGGCAATTTTCTTTTCTTTTCGCAGGACAGTTAACTAGTGAAACAATTTATAATCAATTTTCCGTGTTCAGAGTTTAAAATTCTGAGATATTCTATATACTTTGTTGAGCTTGTAGGACATAGCAACGGTAACCAAGTGTAGTCGGAAGCACGAACTTTCAACGGTTAGTAACTTTGTCATTCTTTGAAAAACGTAGCCATTTTGAGTGAGTTAGGTTAGCCCGTCACTCACCCCACAACCGGTAACTTATTTTTAACACGTGATATACATTCTAGTTTTGAAAAGGCCATCTTTTTCCTCTTTCGTTTGTTTGTTTGTTTTTTACTGAGTTAGCATTTCCACAGTCTAAACGTGAAATAAAAAGTTCTTTTTCGTTTATTGATCAGATATTTATCCTAAGATTACTTATAGTTTTTAATCTAATTAATAGACTTACGATAATTTTACATCAATACTCGCAAATATAGGGACTTTAATATTCAAAGCCTCCCTGGTTATCTAGAAAGATTAGCCTACGTCAAGCATTCCGACTTTTTCAGTCATAGAAGCGAGGAAAATGGTCAGTAGAGAGAACGAACCAACTTTAGCGAGGGAAAAAATATCGTACATCACTAGCCTTGCACCCAGGGACACCAAAATATGTAATGGTGATAAAGAAAGCATTGAATGCCGGGACTCAGTGGGTGGCACTTGTCGTTGCGTACTACGAAACAAGGCTTTAAGCCATCATATAGAACACTCAAGTTTTAATAGCCCACTTCTGAAATATGCTTGGCTTGTCACGAACAACGGTTTCAGTACGAGGCTACGTGGCATATGAAATTTATTATAGTTTCTCTTGATCACGAAGCCTCACATTGAAACCTTTGTGAGGCACAAGCGAAGCTTTCCTGCTAGCAGAGTCTATTTTCCTTTGTTTTGGCGGAGTGAGAAAAAAAGACGTTATACTTGTCGCGCCTGCGTGGCGTAACTTAGCAACGCTGTCATGATTTTGACAGCCGCTCTCGTCAAACACCGTTCGGCGCCACGGTGTGTCATATTTGCTCATGCGCATTACATGTACCCGGTTAAAAACCGGTTTTAAAACTGGTTTTGATCATCCACGATGCTGGACGGCGCTGTATCAAAGGAAACGCTCTACGTCGGCAGTCTCCCTCCTCCCCGCCTAAAGAAGGGAGAGAAAGAGAAGAAACTCTGCAAGCAGGGACAATCGAAGCATATCTCAGAAGTGGGCTATTCATCCTTGTTTGCAGATTATCTTGTTATGACTCCACTTTCAAAAAACTTTTCTTACATTCTTGTGTCATATGTTGCTATTCTCGCCCCAGGTCCTAATAAACAACTACGAGGCTTGGCCACCAAGCAAACTGACAGAGCAATATACCGTATCTATGGTTACTGCCAAGCCATATACCAGAACAAGGACCAATGAGGCATCACACATAAACATGCTAACACAAACGACCACGTTCCGAGGAGATGTGAGTCTCTTAAAGCAGATATGATTGCACGATACATAGTATCCATGGTTACCTTTACTAGGCGACCAGGATCAATGTTTTCTCCCATCGATATGGTGTTATAGGCCAGACAAAGCCAGAAGAGAACTGCAGGCGGCGAAGCGAGTAAAAGTAGGAGTATCTGAGACACTCGACGTAGGCTGAAAAAAAGAGGGAAACAAATATAGTCAAGATATCTTGGTAGAAAAGGTTTAGAGAGGCATAGAAAGAGTCCAAAGAGGGCGCGGAAGCGAACATCAAGGAATTCACTGGTTTCTTACGACCCGTAAAAAATTTTGATTTGGCTCATTTGCATCAATTAATTGGGGGGGGGGGGTGGCACTTTACGTAAACACAATAGTTTTTATGTGCAGTGAATAATAACAAGCTATTGAATTTATGCAAAGTGCCCCTCAAAGTCGAAAACTAGTCAATAAGAGCGTCGAAGATCTGCGAGAGGGATTACAGAGGGTCAAGAGAGAATTTGTGAGGGCATAGATAAAGAGATTTTGAAGAAACAGAGATGAGAGTAAGAAGAAGTAAAAAAATTGGTAAAAAGTTAAAGAGGAAGAAAAAGAGAAGTCAGAAGAAGTAGAAAGGAATTTAAAACAGGTAGGGAAGGGTCGAGAGAATCAGACAAGGAAGGAGTGGTTCAGAGAGGTTCGAATCAGCTGTCACACCAATAAAATAGAGCTTTTAAGCTGTGACGTATTTCCGGGTCCAAATGCTCACAAAAACGCTAACGACAAATGTGTTCACTGATCTAACCTCCACTTGAAACAACTACAACTTCGTACAACAAATTCTGTCATGAAGAAAAAGTAAGAAAAATCTTTATACAACCCGGAAGTCGTTTTTTCATTCCATTGACGTCACACTCAAAAGCTCTATATAAGGCTTCTGGCAGCGTTGGCCAACAAACCCTATCACCGAGCTAGGAACCCACCTGCTTTGCGTAGGACCAACATACAAGTAGGCAGGAATGCTCAAAACGGCCAGGAAAAAAGCCAGAGAAAAATTCATGGCGGCGATGGAAGCCATGGTGGCGGAAAAGAACACAAAAGCCACACACTTGACAAGGTATAGGTACTCTAATGGCGGCTTGGGCGACAAGAAGCTGTGACAATGAAAAAAAAAAAATTCAAAAGTCAAATGGCAGCCACCAACAAAATATAACAAGACGTAAATCGGTTATTCTTTTAGAGAAATGAAAAGCGAAGCGACGTAAGGTGATGTTAATTGGTAGCTCTCAAGATTTGAAAAAGACTAAGTGATCCTACTTGCTTCACTATCGAAGGAGAAAATTTAGACCATATTGACTCATTCAAATATCTTGCGGTCATACTTAATAAATCGCTTATCTCTTTTTAGAAGAATCAAGATGTACTTGCCGATAAGAGCCAGAAAACTGTTTTGTTATACTTTGATTTTACCGCTCTTTGACTACTGTGACATTATCTGCGGTAATAGAGGAAATTCTACCTTGATGCAAAATCTTCAAGTTGTGAATGTAGTTCAATCTGGGCGACAAAACAATAGGTTTCCAGTTCTCAGGAGATTGGAATTCCTTTCAGTGTTTTGTCCTCCAAATTGACCTACTTTGACGTCACATGCAAGGGGTCTATTGGGTTGCTTCTTGAGATAAACTTTATTTGGAATCTTAAAGAAATTGAGGAATCCCTGAAGTCAATCAACACTGGCCTACCAAAATGACGGTCAGTAATTACGTGATCTTCTTATAGACCTCTTGCAGCATGTCGGAATGCAGCCCAATTTGGAGGACATATAACAATCTGTGGCGGATTTAGGGGGGTTCATTGGGTACCTTGGATTTTTTATATTTTTTAAAATAAATAAATAAAAGTATGGTACTAGATAGATATGGATAGGTTATCCTTATCAGGAGCGCCCCTAGGCCAGTGATGTGCCTCATGGGAAAAATGATGATGCAAGAGAACGTTATTGTTGTGCCGAGATTTGCAAAAATGAACCCCCCCCCCTCCCCTCTTAAAGTCCTGGATCCGCCACTGACAATAGGTTCCTTATTCTCAGGAGATTGAAATTCTTTGACAGTCACATGCTAAGGTCTATTGGAGTTAGAAACAGAATAAAGTTTTACCTTTGGAAAACTGGAGCCAATACTATAAGCCCAAATACAGAGAAGAGAGAAACTAGAGAAGCAGCCAGACCATCTTGCTCCATGGCAACGCCTACTGAATACCCTATCACTGGACTATAGTACAACAGGACACCACCCAAATGGGTCGCCATGACAACAGGGAAAACACTGCTGACCTGCTGTGGGCTCCAAGAAAAACCAACCTGTTAAGATGAAACACGTTGATAGTCAGGACTGTGGGTTTGTTAATAGAACTAATTTCGCCTTGGTCTAATATTTTCCCATTACAGAACACGTGTCATTCCCTAGAGTATCATTTCTTTGTTTAACGGTTGCGCATGAGAAGACACATGGATACGACAAACAAAGAATCTTATTCTAAAGAGAATGGCACGTGGTCTGAAATGGATAAACCTTACGCAAAAGGTAAAGACTCGAGGTCAGTATATTGCATGCCTGCTAAGCGTGACGCAGGGGAAAGAAACGCGAAGCACTGACGAGAGGAGGGTAAAGAGTGTACCGGCCTCATCTTTGGAAAGTAGAGTCTTTTTATATTGGTCATTTAGATGTCGTGCGGAGTTCAAACACAGTTGCAGTAGTAAAATGGGGTAGAATGGCGTATATCCCGCTGGTATAAACAATAAAAAGATTTAAAAAGATAAAAAGAAGACAATATTTTGGGTGTTATATACTTTATAACAAACCTTTTCTCTCAGTACTAACTCGTCAATTTCTTTGCTTGTTTGGTCAGAGTTCTGGACAATTTCCTCGCCATCTTCCCGTTTTTCTTCTCCTTCCTTTTTATTTTCTATTTCTCCGCTCTCATTTTCCTTCTTACTTTCATTTTCCTCCGAACYTTTAAGAACATGTTTCTTCTTGGTATCAGATTCTATATTTGGATCTCCAGCGAGGATCCAAAACACGATGGCCGAAAGCAGGGGCCCTACCAGCATACAGCCAAACGGGGGCATATACAGCCCAATGGAGACATATCGATGATGGGCTGGTAGAAGATAGAAGAAAAAGGACTGATGGAAGCGCTCTAGTAAATTGTTTAGGCTCCGGAATATTCCTTCTATGACCCTACATTGGACAAAACAGATGAAATTATGATGAATATAAAAATGGAAAGGTAGTCTTAAAAGTATTTTTATTATAGTATACGGAAAAACGGGTGCACCGAGTGCGCTGCTTACGTACCTCCTTTCCCCGTTAAGTTAGTTCAAGTGCATATGTGATTTAATAGGACACTTGCATTATGGCGTCATTGACTACAAGTACCAGAATACCTTGCACACTTTCTTTTCTTCAGTTAATTAGCACCACATCACTTTACAATTCTCTTGAGGCAATTCAAATTTTAATAACAAAGGAGATTCGCGAAGCATTATGGTAGTCGTAGTAAAATGACGACATCATGAAACATCCTATTCTGTACTTTCAGTATTGATTCTACATGAGATGAATAGTTCTGAGGTAAATTGGATATGCTGAATTAGAGCATATATGCTCTTAAAAAAAAGCAAAAAATAACTAGCCTGAGTATCAGGCTCTCTTCAGTCCGTCTTGGAAAGCCCAAGCCCCCCCAAGCGCCCCAGAAGGCCTGATACTCAGGCTAAAAATAACAGCTTCTTGTTACCTTCCCATATTTTCGAATTCAAAGTTAGAGTGGTCACTTTCCTTTACTCCACGTACTGTGACAGCCTCGATCCTATACCGATGAAACAAGCCGTGATTGGCTGAAGGAAGACCTGACGCTTGGTTAAACATCATCATCACCATGGAAACCAATTCGTGTACAGGACTGCGCATGTCGCTATAGTATGGGTGGTATTCCTGGATAGAGAAAAAATGCAGGTTAGCCACTTTAACAGAGTGGGATCCCTGTGGTGATGCTTGCTAAAATAAAACAGTTTTCAATGTTTTTTACTGTGATCCTCTTAGCTAATCTAAAACCAAAATAAATAAATTCAAGACCGTGATTGTAAGAAAATGAAAGAAATGACACAGAACTATTTCGATGCCGTGGAAAAGGCTCGACAAAGCAGGCRCGAGCTTCAAGAAGCATCAAAGAATATCTGTCGCGCCTGGGAAGAACAACGAGCACCATCTGAAGCAGTCAACACTCAAGCTAAAAAGGAGTTGGATGAGGAAGATGAGTTTGACTATCCATTCTTGGTGGACAATGCAGTTTGTCCCACTGCTAAGGCCACAGGCACCCGTCACAACTCTACTATACTGGTGCACTTAGAGAATGGCAAGACTAAAATAGACAAGAATAAAGATGGAAAAAGAGAGAAATATTTGCATTTTTTAGCTTTATAGCACAATGAATAGGGATAGGAATAATTAATAGTTATAGTAATAGTAACAATAATAATAAATAGTAATTTAGTAATAATTAATAGTAAATGTTTATAGGTATATTTAATGGTAATAGTAACCGTAATAAATAGTAATAGTTGTTAATAATTGATAGTAATRATAAAATATCATAATATCAAGTGTTTCAAATAGTAATAATTAATAGTAATTGTGAAAGATCTTAGTAATGATAAATAAAAGGTTATAGTAATAATATTAAAATAAATATAAAAGTTTATAATAATAATAAATAGGTAATAGTTTAAAGGTTATAGTAATAATTAAAAGAAATATAGAAGTTTATAATAATAATAATGAATATTTATTATTTATTTTGAGCATATTCTATAAATCATAAGCCAATCACATAAAAAAATAACCAATAACATTAAAATAGCCTAATTAAGATAAATACTAAAACTCATGCTATATTTACAGCTAGAAATGGCTGGTTAAATGCCTTCACTTCAAATATATCAAGGCAAGTAGTTTTTTATTGAAAACATTTATAGTCATAGTTAACAATAAATTACTATACAGTAGTAATAAAGGATTCTTGTTTTAGATTCTGCTTGGATGAATGGAAGTGAACCTCAAGCAGCGAGGAGTGCAGGAAGTGCACTTTCAGATGAAACAATTGCAACGCCAATGCTTGAACACCAAGACAAGGCTGAGACAGATTGCCCTAAGCTTCAGGATGGGACAGACAAAGATAATGTTACCAACGAAACTAAAGAAAAAGCTAAACAACATTCAAAATCTAAGACTCATGGTATTTTTGGTAAAAAAAACAAAGAATGATGCAGAGACCACAGCTCTCCCGGTAGGGGCCAGCTAGTATAGCAGTGAAACCAATGCACTTTCCAGTGAGACAAGGATACACCCATCAAGAACAAGATTTCCTGCTATCCTTGGGAAACATTCTAAAAAAGACATCATAACTGAATTCCTCAATGGGACCAGTTGGGATGAGAGTGAAAGATGTACRTCTGCTAAACATCAAGAGGAAGCAAAGGGATCTAGACCTAAATCAAGAATTTGTTCTATTCTTGGTAAAGAGTCGCATACAGGCACTAATAATAATTCAAGAAGGTACATCATGGTCAACAAGGTGGCAAGGCCGGGTAAGAACTTTAGGCAAAATTTATTTTAGCAATAAACTTTAGTTAGTAAACAACTTTCATTGAAATCTATTCAAAATTCTCAATACTTGTCATTTCAATAGAAAATAGTGAGGAAAAGGTTTACAGCCATTCTCAATCACACATGCCCTCTAGCGATTTCCATAACATTGTTGGAAAACACAAAGCTAAAAGGGCACATACATATAGAATGTCATGGAAATGCCTTGATTGGTGTCCACTAAAAGCTTCTTCATCACAACAGAAACAATCGTTAGAGTGGCACGTGTGATTGAGAAAAAAAAGACCAAATTTCTTGGTCAAGGAAAAAAAGTTTACTTCATGAAAATTTGATTGTTTCCTGCATAAGACAAAAACATTTTTAAAGCAACTTTTTAAGTTTGTTATTCATAATATACATTTATTTTGAGCATTTTATTTCCAAGTTTAATTTTACCACTAATGCAGCTTTAAAAAGCCAATTTATCTCTCTTCTAATGAATAAAGAATAAATTTTGTATATCTTCTAAATAGAAATGGTAAAAAAGCCAGTGGAAAGTGAAGACGATCAAGAGGAGGATGAATATGAATATGATTTTGATGATGAAGTTGAAATCCCAATAATTACCCTCATTGACAAAATGAAGCCTTCCAATGTCAGGATGAAGGCTTTATGAGGACAAGAACAAGCCTTCTGAAGACAAGAACAAGCCTTCTCATAACAGGAAGAAGCCTTCTGATGACAGGAAGAAGCATTCTGATGATAACAACAAGCCCTCTGATAACAGGAAGCCTTCTGATGACAGGAAGAAGCCTTCCAATGACAGGAAGAAGCCTTCCAGTGACAAGAAGCCTTCTGATGACAACAAGTTCCCTGAAAACAAGCTGCTTGCAAGACTTAAGAAGAGTTGGTTCATACGAGACTGGTTGATGGGCTTCCTAGACTAGTGACACCCAAGTAACCTATTGGATTACAATGACTACTTTGTAAGAAGCTTTAAACCAGCCTCAGATGCCTCATGTCCATATAAGATTTTGGGCACACCATCACAACCACTCCATTATCTCTGACATRCAACCAAGTTTCAATACAAGATGCTACAAAATTTAGACTATTGAACATCCTTTTCTAAAAAATTTAGCATATTTTTGATCATGATTTTGGAAAGGTCATACAGCAAAGTTATAAGCAAATTTATTGCTAGTTCACTGGACTTGATTACTGGTACCAGTATATTTCGTGCCCAAAACCTTTTCATTTGTAAATATCTTATATACATATACATGGTATATAATGAAAAAATTGAAAAAATTATGGAGATTTACATTGTAGTCCAAAAAAAAATTATTATTTATAACAAAAACTCATTGTAAAACCAAAAAAAAAAACTTAAAAAATTGTAAAAATGCAATCCAAAAAAAATGAGTGGGAAAGACAGAGAGAGTGTGTTTAAGAGAGTGTGTTTAAGTGAGTGCGACATTTTTATAATAATATTATCATATATTGTTAATTATATTGTAAATTACTTGTAACATAAGAATTCTCTTTTTTCGACTCACTAGGAGTCATAAATTTTWAAAAAGGTACAAACAGTAGAGTACAACAATTGTAATAAAAAAATCTGTGGTGCAATATTCCTGTCTGTCTTTTACTGTTTCAAAATGTGGGGTAGACTTTCTCCTCATTAGTTCACATGCACTCAATAAAGCACACGCAGCTTAACTAGAATCACACACCCTAAGTAAAGGACTTTTACAACTTGTTTAAAAGGGTCACTGGACTCTGCTTGTGCTCTAAGCACAATTTAGTGCACTCTACAAAAAATATACACCATTATTGGCGCAAAATGTAAACAAAAATCATGAAACAAGTTAACCTAGAGCTCATCTCGCAACTTTGATGCTCACTTTTTTYCCCACTTGTTTGGTTTATGAGTAACTGAGAGATCAGCTTGGAGCAAGTCTAATAATTGTGAGGAAATCTATGTGAAGCTAAGTGAACAACGTTTCATAGTTTTCTTAAATACAAAACTTTACAAATTTGACAGCTTTAAATGTAATTGATACTTGACAGTCAACCCATGATTGGCCAACAGTTGGCTGAGTGTCAGTTGACAGGCTAGGTGTCAGCTTGTCATTTAAAGTACGAGTCTTACATGTACACTATCTTACTGAAATAAGGCAAAGACTCAGGAAAAGACTTTTGGTTTCAGTTGGCATGGCTACTGCATAACCAAGGCCGTTGTACAGAGACAGAGAGAGAAAAAATTGAGAGAGAATTAAGAACAACAAAAGCCTAACTTGACAAAAATCATGACATTATTGAAAGGTGTCAAAAGCATTTTTCACTTGTGGTCCTCTTCTAAGGTGTGCAGTTGACGAAATCAAAAAGTTTTTTTTCAATTTAAGTATTATTTTATATACATACAATGTATGTATTTTAATACATGTATTTAAAATATTTAATACATGTATTTAATACATGTATTTAATACATGTATTTAATACATGTATTTAAAATATTTAATACATGTATTTAAAAATATCTAAATAAAAATATAGTATTCAATATTGATGAAATTAACCAACTATCACTATTTCTACCAGTAGTTAAAAGAAATGCACATACCTGGGTGTGTAGGATGGAAGGGATCATCTCTTTTCTGCATAACCTGTCCACCATGTTGATAAGATCTAAGTTCGGCAGTTGACCATTTAGTCCTTCGCCTAGGATGTTGATCCTACCAATTGAGCTTGAGGTGATTTCTAGGTTGATAGCCGCTTGGATGGCCCCTGAGTGGGATTCCAGTGGAAGAGACTTGATGTCTGGATAACAAGATTAACACACTATTAAAGAGACTTAATTGTCAAAAAAAGTTACATCAAAAATGTGCCACTGATTTTTTTAAAAAGCTGAATATGATGCTGATGGTGTTGGTGTCGATATTTACTAATGATGGTGATGGTGATGATAATAATGATAGTGGAAGTGGTGGTGGTGATTACTGTATGATGATGAGTAGGGTGATGATGATGATGATGATGGCAATGGTGATCAGGTGATGATAGTGATGATGATGGTAATTACAGTGACAATAATTATGGTGATGATGATGATGAAGATGGTGATAATGATGATGATGGTAATGATGGTGGTGGTGATGCAAGATCATGATCATAATGATTTTGATTATGGCGATGATGGATAAGGTTGATGATGATGCTGATGAAGTTAATGACTGAAGTTAATGAAGATGATAGGGGTGGTGAAGATGATGACTTCATGGTAGAAAAGCCCTCAATCGAAATTTTATGTTAGAAAACCAATAAACAACTCATTCTTCCTTGGTCAATTTTTGAAGGCTTCTTGACCGCTCAGTTTTGCAGTGATGCCATTTATACTGTATGTCACTAATGAATTGATAAAGCTGAGTAAAAGTATGACTTATACTAACATTGATTAGGTATATCATGATAGGCTTCTAACCAGGCATTCATTCCAAGAGCACCTTCATCTGTCACTAGAAAAATGATGTCCTTGGCCCAATAGCTTTTACCTGGCAATAAAAAAAATATAGATATGTCTGAATATATAACTATCCATAGTAATGGTAACGAATAATGGTTTGACAAGTATATAGTGTAATTATAGCACATAACGATGATCATAGCACATAACGATACCATAACAACATACTTCTAAAATGATCAGCTAGTGATAACATTAGTGCTAGTGCTCCCTTGTTGTTGCCATGGCGATAAGGCAGACAAAGCACAACTGCCTCAGTGCCAGCAATCCTTGGTGCCCTAAGAACACCATACACATTGGTGCCCTGTATGACCCCAGGATCATTTGGACCAGGTAAAGGAACTTGGACAGTGAAATTTTGTCGGTAGGTTTGCAGGCCAATCTCTGACATTTTTCTGGAAAGCCAGTCCATTGGGATGGTCTTTCTGTCAATTGAAAAATTACAAACCAGAAAGGTTTTTACAAAAAAGACTGTGAGAGGATTTAATGATTCAATGCTTCTCAATAGAAGGCATGGAATTGTCATTAGAACAATGTTTTTCCATTACTGTACACACCACATGTCACTCTAGTGAGTATCATTTCTTTGTTTAATGGTTTCACATAAAAAGACACATGAATATGGATACACTTTAAACAAAGGATCTTATTATCTAGAGAATGACATGTGGTCTGAAATGGGAAAACAGTTTGTCCAAGGTAAGCGGTCTGTTTAGTAAAGTGACTCTCCAAGGTAAGCGGTCTGTTTAGTAAAGTGACTCTCCAGTTGTTTGAGTAGACACATGAATATGGATACACTTTAAACAAAGAATTATATTCTCCAGAGAATGACACGTGGTCTGAAATGTGAAAACAGTTTGTCTAAGGTAAGGGGTCAATTTAGTAAAGTGACTCTGCAGTTGCTTGAGTAGACACATGAATTTTATTCTCTAGAGAATAACACATGTCCTCAAATCGGAAAACACTGAAACAGTTTCTTGAACAGAGTCAACCCAAAAACCATTTTCGACTTACAGCTGATCTTTATTCATGTTTTCAAGCTCTGTGAATATTCTCCTAGCCATCTTCTGGTTGTGGTACTCGGACTGAACTTGACCTGGTAAAAGTGCATTCTCAGAAAAATATGTTCTGCTATTGAATGATGAATCTGATAGCACACAAAACCAGATTATACCARCCAAATAACTCAGAATGCTAGGAAAGAAATACAAAAAAATAATAGCTTACTCTTGCTATTAATGCCAAGCAATTTTCAAAAAAACACAGCCATGGAAAAGATTCTTCATAATCTCCTCTAAAATGGGTTACAGTATGGGTTAATATGGGTTTATTATAAGGTAAAATTATTGTATGTTCTGTTTGATCAACTAACATGCCAGCTATCTTTTTTGTCTTTTGTTTCTCATAGGAGGGGTCTTAGACTACAAAGTCAGTGCCTAACTGTGGTTTTGATAGCATGTGGCATGGTAGGACCATCACTTCCTGTATGAAAATATTTTTGGGGAGAGGGTGGAGGGGCAAGATTGGGTTCATATTTTCATTTTTCATGCTTTATTTGTACATTCTAGGTTTATGCTCTATGTATATACCGTAAATGGTTTGGATGAATTTATTATCGGACTTATCAAGCTCACCTTAGTTTGGTGTAGTGTTTGGCGAGCAATATTCCAGCCTGCTTTCTGCCTCTAGTATCTGATAATATACCCATGCTGCTTCTAAATAAAATGATAATAATGATAATAATTTATGATTTATATAGCAGCCTTGGTATATGGATATGATCAAAGGATTACAGATACAGTGGATGGCAGATTTCTTTTATACAATTTACAAGCATGAGAGATGTTTAATATGAAGTGTAGGCACCGAGGGTGGTCACTGCCAAGGTTTCTTACATCCTCAGTGGTTCTTTTACGTCCCTCCGATATTGGTTAGTAATGAAGAGACGGGACCGCCATTTAAAGTGGTCATCCGAGCCACTTGAAAGTCTAACCATTTGCAGATGTAATTACATTTTAAGACCCTGAGTGTTGGTCYGGCCGGAACTCAAACCACGACCTCCCGCACGAAAGTCCAATGCTTAACCAACTGAGCCAACCGGTTACAGGCCCGTAAGTAGGATTTTTGTTGGGGGGGGGTGCTAATTTACAAAAAGTGGACCAACCATATACTTTATTTTTTWAAAGTCCCATAGGACGCATAGGTATAGATAAATTATTAAAGTAAAATTGATTTTTTTTACTTAGTTTTACGTGAAAATATCATACCAGCCAATATCTCACTTGCTTAAAAAGCGGACCTTTAGCTCGTGTGGGGGGGGTTCGAACGCACCCCCTGCACCCCCCCTAGCTACGGGCCTGTGTTAAAACAAAAGAAATAGATAAACAGAACCGATAAATCGTCTAAAACAATCACTTCAGTCTTCTTCTCCCTACCCACTGCACCACCCCTATTCATGCCAGGACAAACAAATATAATATATTTCTTTATCATACCTTGCAGTGACGAAAGCCTTTGAAACATATAATCTAATCCGGGTTAAACTGGTAAAATTTTGAGGTCAAAAATAAAATAATTATAAATGTTTCAAAAAGTCTTCACTTTTGCGCGCCGTCCGCCATCTTGGATTTGAAACTCGGCGCAGTTACTCAATACTAAGCATGCGCAGCAATGAACTCACCTCGCAAGGCCTTGTGGGTTCTCAGTCAATGGTTTCAAAATGGCGTTTAGGAGTGTGGTGAGGTGGAGGAACTTTCCACGGCATTTTCAGGAAATCTTCAAGGTAAACTACGATTTCTGAATGCTAAAACATTTATGGACTATTATTCTATAAGCTAGCCGTTTTTGAGGATATTTTATCCACATTTTCCTACATATAAAGACAATTTTTCTTGGCTCCCCTTCTTAGAGCTCAACTTTTCTTGATTTTTTCCCTTTAGACCGGTGTTTTACTTTAATTCCCATTATTTGTCTTCATTAGACTAGAAATATTTCTTTAAAGTTTAATTTAATGCCTCTATTTTGCGTGTACGTGGTAGTTTTCTTATATTAACATTGCAGGATCATTATCAGACGCTTTTAGAAATACCGTGTCGTCGTATTATACAGTACACTGGAGTTGCATAACATTATGGAGTAATTATTTGTACATAAATCCTTTAGATCTGGCGATCACGACTTCTCTTCTTGAAGTCATGTCAAAAAATTACAAGATATACTACGCTTAGATAAATGTCCTTAGTGTAATTATCTGTGCAAATATTTGTGCATATCAACTCACTATTAATTTTAATAATATCTAATAATGTCCCCCTATCGATCAAACATTTACCTCTATTCTCAGTTAACTTTGTTACCTTTGTGTAATTTGGAAGTCTCGGTATATTAAGTCTCAATGTTTTATAATGAATAGAATTTTCTTTTAACATTTAGGTTTTTTCAACATTTCAGGCCCAAACTCGACTTTCAAACACACAAGTTCAAGCTGCACCAAAAACCAAGGTAGAGATTGACCCTTATCTTTGTCCCTTCATACAACATACAACTTTTGTGCACAAGTAAAGTCTTTTTGGAATATATTTTCTATTTTTTACCAATTGTTTGGTGTCGCTAGACACCAATTTCTTTCTCTTGTGAGATGTTTATCAGCTGAATCACTAGTTTTCATAGAATTGTTTTTGGTTGACAGCACCATTTCTTGTAYGTGAGTGTAGCTGTTYRTTGGTTCTCTCCCCTGAGGGTTTTTCTCTGGGTTCTYCAGTTTTCCTCCCTCCACAAAAATCAACTTCTGAATTTGAAAATAACAAACAATGCTTCATAAACTGAGATTTTTAATTAGCATGTTTGGGCAAAACATTTGCCATCTTCAGAAAGAAGAAAAAGATGGCAAACATTTTGCCAAAACAATCAAGTAAGAACCTCAGTTTACGAAGTTTGTTTGTTAWTTTATGATTGTTACACAAAAAATACTTCTCTTAAGATCATTTGGAAACTTCTAAATTCCAATTCCATCTTTGGGCTTYAAAACTAGTTGGAGCCTAACTCTGTTGTGATTATCCAACGCTGTGATACAAATGCTAAAACTTAATAGAAACATGTAATGAGATTCATGATAGTTATGATTCATCAGCTTTTTAATTATAAATCAAGCCAAGCTTTCGAGCATCTTGCTMTTCATCARGGCAAACGGTTGTGACAGTTTTACAAGAAACACACAACATAACAATGTGCGCGTGCTATAGTTAAATGTATCAGTTGCTAGGAGTGCGCATGTTACGAATGTAATGTAATGAGATCTTAAGACTCTTATCAGCTGATTGAAACCAGGCAATAGAAATAARGCTTGACATACCAATTCAAATCCAATTTAATTTTTTCCTAAAAATATAACTTTTGTAGGCAACTGCTTGGGTGACATTGGGAGCTCTAGCCACTGGTGGCCTGGTAACTGGTTATGTATTGCAACCAGATGTCAATGCCGAAGAGCTGGAACTTCATCCCCCTAAGTTACCATGGAACCACAGAGGGTTATTAAGTTCTTTAGATCATGATGSGTAAGTACTTACTGTTCTAAAGATTTTGTATTGTATGCTTAAATCTTYGGCAAAATGATCTTGGGATTAGCAAAGCAATCATAAAAGCATGCATAGATCTGCAAGGAGGCCATACTTTGGCTTAAGGAGCATCCTGCATATTGCTTTTACGAGAGACACTGCTAGCCAGCAATGCATCAATGATTGATTATTTTAACTTTCTATGCACAAATTTAGTGAGCGTGCACTTATCATACCAATGTTTTGATAAGCAAAATATCATGAAAACRTCTTTAATCTGTTAAAGCTCTAAAACAAAGTTGGGTACCCCTTTTTTATTTCGTTTTTTGAAAGTACTTTGTAATATGCAACTTTAGGGGGAAAATATAAAAAATCTGATCTTGGGATCAAATCGAAATTCCATATTTTGTGCATAATTGGAATAGAATTTCAATAATCCCAATAACATTTAATATTTCTAACTTTTTAACACAAATTTTAAAAGCTACTCTAACTAATTATTTGTTTATTTTCTAAAATTCTTGGGGAAATGGGACGATCAGATTATTTTTTCATTAAAATATGGCTTATTTTTGACAGCTTTCCATGTGTACATTTTTATAATAAAAAGGGTCAACTTCCACACATTCTGACGGCCAAASGAAGTTAGGGACCCCAATTTTTTATTCACTTATTTTACTTCTAGTATGATGTACTTTCATCATGCAATTTTTTCAAAATCTGACGATGTGAGCTTTTGCTCTTGCCAGGAAAGTCCTTAAATTACATTTTGCTGCTTTGTTAGACTGRTAGTATCCTCAAACTCTATCTCTAATTTCTTAATACAATTAYAACTGCAGCATCCGACGAGGCTTTCAGGTCTACAGACAAGTATGTGCAGCATGTCACAGTTTAAACAGAATAGCCTTCCGTCACTTAGTGGGTGTTTGTTACACTGAGGAAGAAATGAAAGCAATAGCTGCAGAGGTAAGACAATATTATTATGATTCTAATCAGCCGCCACTACAAGCAGCTCCCTCCTTCAGGGTTTTCATTACGGGTTGGGGATCAGAGAATACTCTGGTAGCTGAGCAAAATTCTCTGGCTTAAACTACTTCTAATAGCTTTGTATTTAGTGTTTTTTGTCCACATGACTCTCCAGCTGTTCATTATCTTCTATTATTTCAAAACTAAACCCTTCTCCCTAATCYGCAGTATTTCTGTCATTAACTCTGAAGAAGACTTAAATATTTCTGTATATATTATTAGTATGATATAGAAGATGGCCCTGATGATGAAGGCAACATGTTTACAAGACCTGGAAAGGTAAGTCTTCTAAGTTCCAAACCACACTGACAGAAATAGTTCATTGCAGTAATTACAAAGAAATAGCGACCTTCACTTGTTAAGAGCTTGATATCATTTTTATTCACAAGTTTCCATATCACATTGCAAACAAGCGCATCTGTGAGCAATATGAAATGGAAAACGAATGAATAAAAAAGATATCAGGCTCATAACATGTAATAATTTGCTTATTACACATTTAAGGAGTTGATACAATGACAAAACTCACAGTTTCCAATTTACCACGAAGTGATTTTATTCAAGACTTTATCACACTGATATCGAACCTAGATGTGTAACAAAATGAAATAGCAAATAACTTGATAACCATTCCACGTTTTCTTTTGTCGATAGCTTTCAGATGTAATCCCAGATCCGTACAAGAATGAAGAGGCAGCCAGAGCAGCTAATGCTGGTAGGATTTCTTATCTAGTTCTTCTCTTTGACTCAATCCCTCTCTCTCTTCCTGCCTCTGTACAGCAATATTAGTAAACACAATATTTTTCAGCATTAAATGTATRTATAGCATTAGCCTTTCTAAGGTTAAGTGAAAAACTGGCTCAAATTGGATTTGCAGTGCATTTTGGGATTGGGCCAAACAAAAAAATAAGTGTGTTTCCTTTTGCATGAGAAAAATATTTGGGGTCTGTAGGTCGGATTTTTTTACTGAGACAACAGTGGAAATGAATCTACTGGGAACCCTGTGGTGCATTTGGGAATGAAAAATATTAGGGTCGGAAAAAATCGGCAAGAGATTTAAGGTCAGTTGCACAACAGGAAACACACTTATCTTTTCGTTTGGCCTTGTCTTATGGGACAAAATAGATGCCATTTTGTGAAACAGCTGTATGTCCCCTAAGCCTCACAAATTTATTCACTGCAATGTCAACTCCACCCAGTCTTTTCCTCAACCTCGGAAAGACTGATACTTAATGCAATGTTTTTCATTTTTTCCATAGGTGCCTTGCCTCCAGATCTTAGTTTAATCAATCTTGCAAGACATGGAAATGAGGTGACGTTAATAAACTAAATAAAATAGTTACCATATGATTGGTCATACATGGCTTAAATTAATGGCTGGACCTCAGACAATGTCTGCCAGAATTTGAATTTAAAATCTATGCATTCTGGCCATTTTGACCAGTAAAGTTGAGCCAAAAATGAGGTATGACCTAGTTAAAACTAATTTGATTGGTCATCATGAACTGCGACTTAACCAGCCGTTATTTCAAACTCTGTCATGACCTTTGACAGGTTTCATTGAACCAATCAGTGCCAGTGGAAATGAGCATTGCTTATYAAAGTAATAGAAATGCTTTGACATGCAGGTATCCATACCATGAGTTGATCATCTTGCAATTCTAAATCTGGTCTATTAAAAGATACATGCCATTCACTTTCAATAGCACACACATATTTGACACGACCAAGTACAGTAGGTCAGTGGATGTAAATCAAGGGGCAACATTCCATAGGCACGTTCTCTTGAAAGGTTTTTTCCCCAACATTGTCATGGAAACACTTTGATTAACATTTCAGTGCTTCTATTGAGAGCAGATGAATCTATCATGAACCCAAACCCTATTGTTTTGAAAGGCAAATTATATGATTCTGTACATAAATTAGGGTTTTCAATAGAAGCCGGCAGCCAGCAAATCTCGTCAGGTTATTTTACATGAAATCAGCTCCTTTTTTGATTAAAGTTCCCCAAAGTTTAGGGAAAACATGAAGAAATATTAGCTTGCTGCTCAAATGCRCTGCTTCCCGCCTACTTATTAGGTTTTGCCCCTTAATCAAGCTGGTATTGAAAGCCCTGATAAATGAATAAAACTCTTAAAATGGCCTCTTCAAACACAATTTTTTGATTTAATGGTGTGGTATTTCCTGCAGGATTACATTTTCTCAATATTGACTGGTTATTGTGATCCTCCTGCTGGAGTAGAGATCAAGGAAGACCTGTAYTTCAATGCTTACTTCCCTGGACAAGCTATAGCAATGGCACAGGCCTTGTACAATGATATCATTGAGTATGAAGATGGTGAGTCGGCACAGAACCATKGATATTATAATATGAATATCTTGTGAACTGTTAAATGGATGTATTTAATACTGGGAACAGGTTACARAGTTGCTCTTAGAACTTTGTAATCCACTGAATACTGATACGTGAGGAAAGCACTTGAAAACAGAATCAAAAAATAAATAAAAATGGTTGCTAAATTACMGTCAAATTCAGAAAACTGTGAACACCTAAAGAATTTCTGCAATGTTAAACATCATATTCTGACYAATCGCATGTGACAGTTAATTAAAAATTGATTCATTCTCGCATGTGATTTGACAGAACGGGATGTTCAACATTTCAGACATATTTTAGGTGTTTTCTGAGTTTGACTGTAATGTTGAAATTAGTAATATTGTAATAAAAAATTATAGAAATTTCAAATCCTTTGTTGTCTTACAGGTACCCCGGCATCTGTAACTCAGCTAGCTAAAGATGTGTGCACATTCCTTAAGTGGACAGCAGGTATATTACTTGTATTATCGGTTGCTTCTCAGGGTCGTATCTGGGGTGGTGGGGGGAGGGGGGGTGCTAGGGTTGCTGTAACCCTCCTTTCCTTCGGCTTTCAATTCGATCTAGAAAGGGTATAGATGAAAATTATTCTGCGTAAATCTAGTTACCTGACCAAACTTTGCAGTTTTTCTTTTTTCTTTTTTTTTCTTTCTTTTTTATTATTCTTGGAGTTAGCTGGTTAATGACTTGAGTTAGCCATTGTGTAAAGACAAAATATGTAATTTTTTTTATTTTTTGTTTTTTGACAGAACCTGACCATGATGATCGCAAGAGAATGGGAATGAAGGTATGCATTATTTGCCTTTCTTCTGCTGTAAAGATTAGCATAACAATGGTAACCTTTCTTTTCCATGTTATTCTTCCCTCTAAAATTATCATTAATGCTCCACAGGCTATCATTATCCTGTCTCTGGTCATGGTAGCATCTTATTACTACAAGCGCCACAAGTGGACTGTCCTTAAAAGCCGTAAAATAGCCTATCGTCCTTCACCTCACTCCTAATGTCGTGTTTATATAATTATGATCCTATTCTGCTCTAAATCATTCATAGAGCCTGGCTTTCTTTTCAAAAGCAGTCCTTTTCTGCGATGTTAGTGTGCAGAGTGAAGGGTGCAAAATCTCTGTTGACCAGAATTTTTAAGATCTTGTAAATGGRTTTGTAACCTTATCATGTATGTTTTAATCATGAATGAACAGATGTTGTCATATTAAATAAAAGATTAAGTTTATCATTGGTTTTGTCATTACACAGTTGTACAGTTTACRGCATAGCAAGGGGTTAATCATCTACGGTATAGGGGCCGACTMACCTCTCCCTTAGGCTTTGGCTGAGCTTCCTGATCAGCCTGTAAATCTTCGGATAACRGTGTCRGGGTCGAAATCTCCGGCATAGCCGTAAATGCTTCGCGCTGCCATACGATGGTTCAGCATTCGATGTCTGGAAGTATGGTCCTTTTTCAAGTAAATCAAAAAGTAAAAATTCTAAAATCATGTTTCCATATAGCAGATAAACAACGTTACGTTTAGCAGAGTGGAACTAAATCTGCCTGATTTAGTTAAATTTTTCAATGTAGTCYATAATTTTGAAAGGGGATTGATACACTTTCATATTATTTTATTCATTTGCTTTATTCAAATATATTTACATTTGCTAATTCTTAGTATRAAAATTTTAAATCAGGATTACAAAAATTACCCCCAACTTCCCCAACTTTATACTAAGGCCGGTACAATCTTCAACAACAACATAAAACTATATCTTATGTAATTTGTTGCAAATTCCACTAGAATCTAAACTACTTAGTAACCATTATTATTATTATTATTACATGAATTTTCTACTGTTTCAAACTCTAAAATAAAGCACCGAGGTCAAATCTTATTTCCAGTTAATTGGCTCAAGGGATGATTTACAGTAAGTTATGTGCATTTTTAAAAAGTGACAAAAAACTCAGGTTTGTTARCGGTTTGAGTGTCCTCACTATAACTCATAATATTTAAAACTTAGACTTAGTATCTAACATCATATTTGATTTTTACCATGACCCAACTCCATATAAAACTCCATATTACCCTGGGTTAGATTTTTCCACGGATTCACTGAAAATCCCTCTGGAACCCAGAGTAACTCCATATTGAACTCAATAGTTTTCCTAGGTTTTGTAAGAGAAGCATGTTAAGAATAGGAGAGACATTCCTGTCCTGACTTCAATCAGTTTAAAGGTTGTTTCAAAGTTTGATAAAATCACATAAATATTCAAGTTCTAATCACCATAAATTCCCTATTTTCATTGATCCTGTGGTAGTACTATTAGTGGTTGACAGATAAAGTGTTTCCTAGATAAATACCTAAATATGTGTGAAACAGGACAGGCATTACTCAAGGCAGTGTTTGTTGTGTTTTAGCTGTGTCCTGACTTCAATCAGTTCAGCTCAAAGGTCATTTCAAAGTTTGATTAAAATCACATAAATAATCACTTTCTGATTACCATAAGTTTCATAAGTTTTTCATTGATCCTGTTGCAATGGTTGACAGGTAGTGCAACAGTGCGAAATTTACTTTGCACGAAATAGTGTGATGTCTATAGTGTTTACACTTGTGCAACAGCTGTGCTATTTTTGTCTTCTTCGTGTGACATTTATTTACAAATTGYTGTGTTATTTTAAATTTTATCTGTTTTGAAGTTGCATCATTATGACTCTGATTTTGGTATTCTCTTGGATATATGTTGACGGCAAATGGGACAGTGTTCAACCTTCAGCGCACAGGTCATACATAAATCCCTACAAAAAGTACAAAAATTACATTTTTAATGAGACAATAGCACTACTAAATGCCCTCACAAACAGTCCCAATATTTGACAGTCCCAATATTGTTCCTGTATTCTCTAAGGAATCAAAAATTTTAATATGAAAGAATTTTAAAAACTATTATGCAATTGAGTCAGGGGTAAAAAGTCATCTCGTTTCAGGCTTATTGATCCCCAAAAAATGTTGGGACTTTTTATCAGGTCCTTAAATGATAAAATTTGAACGTGAAGTGGGTTGCCTGTGATAAGTCATTCAGTCAATTTACCTGTGTTGGCATGGTAACAGTATGGTGTCAATAACTTTTTCAAAACATATTTTACATGGGTCCCCTAAGATGCTTTCTGTTTTCATGGCAGCCATCCTGATATGTCTGTGGATAAGCAAAACACTTATTCATTAATGGTTATATTTTGAAACATTCTTTTCTGCATATTTTTCAATTTCCCAACTCTATGTCATAAGTGAGTAGAGTTGCTCGTTGGTACTCTTCAAGGGTTTTTCTCCAGTTTCTCTGTTTTTTCCTTCCTCYGCAAAAATAACTTCTAAATTCTAATTCATACTTTTGGCAGCCTAATCAAGTGGGTCACAAAAACCTGTTTAACTTCCTTTTTACTTCACACTTAGATCACCATGCCGTTCTTACTGCATGTGCTGGATGAAAAGTTTGAAGACTATTGCAGATACATGGAAGTGAAAGGGGTGTGTGGGGGGGGAGGGGGGGTGGTAGGTTGGATAGGCACCCCTTCCACTTTTAAGTGCCTGCAGATACCAGCAGTACCATAGRTGTAGAAGGTTGTCGACTGAGTGGGGATAAAGAACCCCAAGATAATACATGCAAGGGGAGGGCTGGCTCAGGTAAGGTTTTGGGTGTTGCTATTGTACTTTGGCACATCTCATATACAAAATTTTCTTATAAATGTGCATTACAATTAAAGAACCAGCACAGATAAACTATTAGACTTGGTAAAGAGCTTAACAACCAACTGACAYGCATTACTTACTTTGGTAGTATGATTTTATCTTCTTCAGTCAGAATAGCGTAATCATTAAAACACTTGAAAGGRACTGTACAAGGGGGATATCTTGAAGAAAACATTAGAAAAGTGGAGTTATTTTTAATATTTAGAAAGAATGTCCACAGTTAATATTAAAAAGCACCATATTAATTAATGTTAACAAGAGTGAAAGATCAAGATTGATAATTTAATAACAATAATTATTATTACTATTGATATTAATTTAATGATAAGTAACGTACTTAAAAGGTTCTGATCCAAAGTTAAAAATACAGTGTTGGAAAGACATGAAGCTAGCTGCTGCAAAGAATCCAGACCTAAAAAAAAACAAAAACAAAACACTCACCACAAAATACTGATACTGATTTTAAGTGAACTCCCTAGATGAGCTCGAATGAGAGCTCTTGGTGTAAACTTAAAGAATTTATATGTTAAAAAAAAAAATTTTTTTAAATACTGATAGAACATGTTTATTTGTTCCTTAATTAATTTTATAGAAAGGCAGTGTAATTGGCTATTCGTACAGTAACCATATGCTGACTTGCAATTATTTTTATTCATACTGATGATAGATAGTTTGGGAATTTTTCAAGGATTTTGGTTCTCCTCGACACTTAGAAAAAAAAAATCAATGGCAGGCAAGATTCGAACCTGGCACCCTTGGCACCAAATGTTATTATTATGAAGCCTATCCCAACCCTGACCCTAAACCTATCCGCTCAGCCTTGAAGTGATTTTGCTGGGATGCTTTCCGATTTTTGTCATATTTAAARCAATATCAAAATATTTAAATATCCGTACAAATAGAAATGTTATTGCAAGATGGCGTACCCTTACCATACGAATAGCCACTGCGTTTTTAATAAATTATTAACTACAGCATCGTGATAATTGTTGGCAAATTAACATCACAATACTAATATTTATAAACACCAACTAGCACTATTAATGTATGGTGTGAAAAGACTTACTTGGAGAGTGCTGGCTTGAAGTCTTTTTCAAAGTAATAACCATTAAGTGAAAATTGTATTTTCCGTCGATCAAGATCCAAAAGAAGACCTAATACATCCCCTGCAAGACCAAGACAATAGCGAGTCATTACTCTGATTAATAATGAAATTATTAAATTTTGTAAATAATGATAGCACTGCTCGATATTGCAAATTATTGCAAATTCCTGACTGTGAAAAACAAAAACGAGGTACTGTTAAAGTATTGATTAGATACAGAAGC